TATAATGTCTGTACAATTAAGTTCAGTGTTAAGGGGTGGTGGGGTAGCATAGTGGTCAAAGTGTTCGCTCGTCACACCAAAGATGGGTACAATATGCGAAGCTAGCTTCTGATGTCCCTACCATGATATTGCTGGAATATTGCTAAACATGGTGTAAAACTAAACTGAACTCCACTCACTCACTCACTGTGTTTAATGCATGCCTCTGCAATGTTCCAGCAGTACAGAGGCATAAAATAATGAAGTCTGAACCAGACAAGTCAGTGACTGACATAGTGAGCGATGATCTATGATGAGTACGATGACACCTCATCCCACAGTCATCAGGTCTCACCTCCCAATCAGTCGTTTTATGTCATCAGGTTGATACCTGGGGAGCTATTCAAAACTTATATTCTAAGGGGATCTTTTATCGTTGATGTGGTTGAAGCATGTGTTGTGCGAGATAGAAAATGTAAGGTTAATAGAGAGGCAGAACAACAATCCCTAAAGCTGGATAAATGCCAAACTCCAGGTCCGTGGAGATATCAATTACCAGCTAGATGGCACACCCAGTAATGGCCAATTTTCATTGTTCTAGGTAATTTAGCAGAAAATATTGCATCCTTTACACATAGAAATTCACAAGGGAAGAGAATGATATGTTCCGTGAGACTGTTCTATTCTCATAAGAAATATAAGTAAGTTTAACTGTCCATTACTGATTTTTCCTCACTGGGTCGCTGAAGTTCATCACACAAGGATAACACCTTTAATGACTAGTGCAGGGCTGCAGAGAATGTACAGTGATACTTGTGTTTTTGTTATTACATTACGAGTGTTATATTGTCTGCCTGTAGACATCAAGTAGGTGTCAGTGGTCGCCTGGGAACCCTTGTCATGCCTGGGACACCAGGAAAAAATCACTTCTCTCTTCTTCACCAACACACACACAAAACACACACACACACACACACTCTCTCTCTTTCTCTCTCTGTCTCTCTCTCTCTCTCTCTCTGTCCTAAGACTATAACAGCATAGACTGACCATCCTTGAATAATGTTGGAGGGTGCCTGCGTTGTTATGAAGGCTCTAAATACTGGTCAGATAAGAGCTGAAAACTGTTTACATTTTGAAAGAAGTTCCTGTGCAGTAAATCTGCAGGGTTGTGTTTGAACACTTTACATGCCAGTTTGGAGTCACAGTTGCTTCAACATCATATTTCATTTATTTTGAAGTGATGACTTTTGAGGGCAACAAAACAGTATTGATCAGGGTCCCGATCCACAAAACGTTTGATAACCGGACAAAATCTCTCTTTCTCTCCCTCTCTCTCTCCCAAAAGTGCATCCCACAAAAACCCCCCACCCCAAGAAAAAAAGTGCATCGTATAGATATCCATTCATTTCTTTATCAATATTTCAACATTCAACAAGGTCAAAGAGCACATAGCACATATTTTGAGCACATTTTTCACATCATTCATTGCACAGTTATAGCAGAACGATCAGTAGAACCTTTAATCTAAAGCTAAGCATGAGTAGGGTGAATATTGTCCGTTGATATGTTAAGGATAGGGGGGTATAACGTCCGGATGTCCAAGGTGTATTTTTTTTATATATTTATTTTGTCTGGGGGGATTTTGTCCTGGATTCAATTGTTCGTAATGCTATGACTTTCATAATCCTATGATAAACTGTAGAGTTACGACAGTTCGTAAGGTTATGAACGCTTTTAGGATTGAGACCCTGGAGTTTTGTCATGATGTGCGTAACAATATTCCGGCTTCGTACTGATGTATGAAGCACAAATTAACAAGTTTTATCAATATTATACAGAGCAGGACTTAAGCATTTAGACTTTGAACTGGTGCAACTTGAAACTGGGAAATACAGCCACGTACCAACTTCCTACCAATGCATCTTGATATTTTGCTGTCCAAAGGACATTTTTCATTGGAAAAAGAAAGTGAAGATCTGGCTTAAAGCAGTGACCCTGACTACACAGACAGTGATTGATTCACTATTACTGTTCATGGCAAGAAACTTATGTAGTAGAATAAAAATGATCTTATCAGACCCTGATGTATTTTGTTTTAATGATGTTCTAAATCAGTTTATTCCAAAACTGAAGCACATTGTATAATGTTATGTTGAGCAGCAGGTGCAACCTCCTTTTGTCAGGTTATTACCTGAGGCTGCTCTGGGTGCAAGTAGGTTTCATTTCCTTAAGTGGGGCATCCTGGTGGTTAAAGCGTTGGCTCGTCATGCTGGAGACCCGGGTTCGATTCCCCACATGGTTACAATGTGTGAAACCCATTCTGGTGTCTTCCGTAATGATATTGCTGAAATATTGCTAAAAATGGCGTAAAACCATGCTCACTCATTCACTCACTCACTAATTTCCTTAAGATGAGCCTTGTGTTTGACTTGACGCCTCCCGAAATTTCTCAATCTGACTTCACTGAGTCTTACCACCTGATAATGTGGAACTGATGGAATCTGAGAAAGGTCATTACTGTTCTAAGTGTGTTCTCAAGTATACACTATACACGTGTGAGTGTTTTGTTACCTGGAGTTATGTGGAGAAAACAGTAAATCTGACGACCTCCATGATTCTGTCTGCTTGTGATGTTTTATATGTTGTAAACCTCACTTCAGAAGTCCAGCACCTGTGAAGGTCCGGGTTAGAATGAACCTTCAGTAACCCATGCTTGTCGTAAGAGGCGACTAACAGGATCGGGTGGTCAGGCTCGCTGACTTGGTTGACACATGTCATCGGTTCCCAATTGCGCAGATCGATGCTCATGCTGTTGATCACTGGCTTGTCTGGTCCAGACACGATTATTTACAGACCGCCACCATATAGCTTTAATATTGCTGAGTGTGGCGTAAAACTAGACTTGTTCACTCACTCACTCAGGAGTCCAGCCATTTTACAGAGACTGCATAATTACTCAAGGTCAACTAGGGATTGCTATACCATTTCAGACAACCTCCATGACCTTCCGAGTGCTTGTGGGGCAGTGGGGTAGCCAAGTAGTTAAAGCATTTACTCATCACGCTGAAGACCCGGGTTTGATTCCCCACATGGGCACAATGTGTGAAGCCCATTTCTGGTATCTCCACCATGATATTGCTGGAATATTGCTAAAAGCGGCGTAAAACTAAACTCTCTCACACACACTCACAGTGCTTGTGATGTACTTATTTTTCCGTTAGCTACAATCTGTTAGTCCAACCGTTTCACTGAGGCTGTACGCAACTGAGTCAAATCAAGGCCAGTTAGTGGTTGATACTGTGAACAGCTTCTCACGCCATTACAAACCAAGGTTTCAGGGGACATACTAACAAGGACGCAATCAGGACGCAATCGGATTACAAGATACACACAGCAATCAGTCACCTTCAGTTGAAGAAGCTTGTATACAAGCTGTAGAATATGACAGTGTTGTAACTACCTTCAGTTGAAGAAGCTTTCACAACGGACATAAGATACAAGCACAGTGATGTATGACAGTGGCTGTGTAAACCTTCAGAATATGAGACATTAGAATATGACAGTGTTGTAACTACCTTCAGTTGAAAAGCTTGTGAAGAAGCTTGTATACAAGCTGTAGAATATGACAGTGTTGTAACTACCTTCAGTTGAAGAAGCTTGTATACAAGCTGTAGAATATGACAGTGTTGTAACTACCTTCAGTTGAAGAAGCTTGTATACAAGCTGTAGAACATTTCACAACAACATGTTTACGGCATGTACATCTACTGTAGGTAACCAGGCTTATATCTGAAGGACATGACCCAGGATGATCTGGGCAGGGGCAGAAAACAATGAGTTGTTGTGTTCCGCATGATGCTAGGGTGACCCCTGATTACAGCAAGTGCCCTCTGGTGTTTTGTCAGTTTATGTAACTTCTTCATTGCCGACGCCTGTTACAGAACTACAGGGAGATTTATCATTAGCGTCATGTTGTATAAACATTGGCCTGTAGTTCCTCTGTTGTGAGCCCAGAGGGTCCTTCAAGAATTTCAGGGTCGGTTGAGTAGTCGAGTGGTTAAACCATTGGCTGGTTATTCTGAAAACTGAGTTTGATTCCTAACATCGATGTGTTGTGTTGGTTTCTTGTGTCCCATGTCATAATATTGCTGAAATATAATCTGGATAAAATATGTACCACATTTCCTCACGATCGTGGGTTTGAATCCTGGATTTGCTTTCAGTATGTTTCTACGTTTGTCAGCTCCTTACCCATTGGTTTGTGTTTCCTGAAAGGGGACGGTGAGGTAGCCCAGTGGTTAAAGTGTTCACTCTTCACGCTGAAGACCCAGGTTCGAATCCCCACATGGGCACATTGTGTGAAGCTCATTTCTGGTGTCCCCTGCCATGATATTGCTGGAATATTGCTTAAAGTGGCATAAAACCATACTCACTGTTTCTTGAAAGTGATAAATGTCAGAAAACACACAAATCAAGCAGACATGGTTTATTATGAATTTAATACTGTTCAAATTGGTGTTGAACCAAACACAATCACTCACCATTAGAGGATAGCCTTTAATAGATTCCAGCTCTTGCTAGTGAGCATCTCTTCTTAGAGGCCATGCCTTGATATTTTTTTCTTTCTGTGATTAGAAAGAAGTCTTTGTATAGTAAAAATCTCATTTGGGGAAATCATGAGCTGTAGGAGGATGAGCCATTATGAAAGATCTGGCTCTTTCAAAACTTTACGCTGAGACGGAGAGCTGTAATACAGAGGTGGACTCCTAATAGAGGAAATACGTTTCTGCAGCACGAACATGACAGAGCCGCAGTGACAGAAACCAAACAGGATTTAACAGCAGGATGAAGAATTGAGTTATCACAATCATGTCAAGGACACATGATATGCATCATGAGCCCCAGATTCCATTTTTATATTTGGAAAAAACAAATGTGACATTTTGTTGGTCTGAAGTTGTCTTGATAAATACATGTAACGGATTTTGCCGCATTATCGTGACATGTTTATTTCATTTCAGATGAAAACGAGGAACAAGTTTTTGCCAAATTTATGCGTGCCCACAAGTGCTATGATCTCATTCCTACGAGTGCAAAGCTGGTCATATTTGATACACAGTTAAACGTGAGTGTTACAATAAACCGCACACCTCAGTTGGGAGCTATTTTAGTCTGGGTAATTGGACATGAATAGGCGTTTTGATCTTATTATGTGGCGTTACAGATTGGTCAATGCAGGGATATATTTAGAATCGCTCTGATGCTGATACTCAGCCCTAAGTCAGAGAAAAATGTCAGGAAAACTCCCAACATTGGAATTGAGACTTTATATGTTGGTAGTGAGGCTTGGCTTCACTGACAACAGGAACAATACAGATGAATATGATTTAATGCTGAGTTTTAATTTACTTTTTGAAAGAGGTGCTTCAAATTGAAAAATAACATGAAAGAAATCTAATTTTGAACACAAAAATAACAAAATTAATATTATTGTCATGACACTTAGAATTCTGGATACAATTCTGCAATGTTCTGCGCACACGATGCTGTTTAAAGTGCATTGTGGGAGGCAACACAATTCTATTTTCCTTTCAATTTCAAAGTGTATATGTCTCCAGGAAAGAATATATGTAAACTGACATTTCACGATTCTCATGTTAAATACACAAGTGTTAAAGGGAGAATTTTAATTTGAAATTTTACGATTGAAAAACCAATTGGAAGCCTTTATTACATCTTCGTTCTAATTTAACACCTTTTCTTTTTAGATTTGGAGTGCTTAGAATAACAGTGTGAGAACATTGTGAATGAGATCATGATCTCTTATTTTGCGTCATTATTTTCAGGTTAAGAAAGCATTTTTTGCGTTGGTGTACAATGGTGTTCGAGCGGCGCCACTGTGGGACAGTGCGAAACAAGACTATGTTGGTAAGTGTCACTTTCTGCTGTATGACTTGCACCTTGCAAACCAACACGAGACATTTACCCAAATAGAGATGTACAGTATTGTTTACTTTATGGGCTTGACCGTCTGCATGGGAAAGGCAGGTGATGATAAAAGAAACAATCAGAATTTATTGGACAAACAAAACATATTTGTTACAGAATTTGGACAAAAATGACAGTTTTTCAGTAACAATGCAGTGTATTTATGACCAGGGGTGGTGGGATAGCCTCGTGGTTAAAGTGTTCGCTCATAACGCTGGAGACCCAGGTTTGATTCCCTACATGGGTACAATGTGTGAAGCCCATTTCTGGTGTTCTTTGCCATGATATTGCTGGAATATTGCTAAAAGTGGCATAAAAAACCCAACTCACTCACTCACTCATACTATAAAGTGCAAAGACCTTTACAGATGAAAATGCTTCTTTTCCAAGTGAAAACGTGGTTTTGGTAGTCTAGTATGTAAAGCATGTGCTCACCCCTCCAAAGGTTATTCCCAATTTTGGTACAGTTATTTAAGCTATTTCTGGTGGTACTGCTGGAATATTGCTAGAAATATCATAAAACATTACTCATTCACTTACACCATAAAACAACCAAATATTCTGCAGAATTACCATTTATCAAACCAAACAGATATGCTAATAATTGGATGTTGAATATTAAGTATTGAGCTGCGAAAGTGTTTTGTTTTTCTTGTCCAGCAAAGCTAATATGTCATAAAAATAACTCTTCCGCGTACTTGTAACCTCGGAGACGGTGACAGAAAAGACACTAACAGTCTGAGAACTGATGTCATGGGCTGACCATCATTGTTTCAGCTTGGAATCAATAGCATCATCTCACTCCTTCAGCTTCACTAATTAGATGCTGTTTGCAAGATTTGGAATTCTGGATAGGTTCCAGATCAAACAATTTGGCCTCATCACAATAAATTGATGGTGTTTTCTCTCGATGGCAGACATACTGTATACAGAGACAGTATATCGAGTTAAGGTTGTCACGTTGATTCCATCAAGCTTCAGCTGTGATCATTTGAGGGTTGAATTTAGTCTGTGTTATATTTGACCACGGTGGGATTGATGAGGGTGTTTTGAAGCTAGTACGTGGATGAATTTGTAATGGGCACACACATCCTTCCTTCGTACAGTTCCAGGACAAGACTTCAAATACTAGTACCTGGTGTTGTAAGTGCCTTCTTTGTTTAAAAAGTTTTAAAAGCACCTTTCCAAACCATACATTGTGATGGAAACGTATACACGTATCCCATGATGCTATGATGACAGGGTTGGATGGTGCAGTTAGTAGGGCTGGGCGATAATACCGGTTAACCGGTATATTGCAATTCGAACTTCACAATACGATATATTGCGGTACACTTTTCGCAAACCAGTTCAACCGATACGATCGGCAATTTCCATGACCATGATCGGTAATTTTCCTGATGAAGTCAGAAATACTAATAATATTTGTATTTCCTTTATATCATTATACATTAATAGTTTTGAGAATGTTTATCGGTCATATAATTGCATTTGCAAGACTTTTAAACCATATAAGTATAACAAAATAGAATTGGTTCTGGCACTCGTTGTTGGGATAAACAAACCAAAATGGCGGACGCCGCTGCAGATACTTTTTCCCCCCGAGTTGTAAACTTTAAAGCAAAGTCTTCAATTTGGAAACATTTTCAATTGATCTCATGTATAGTCACTGTGGTATTGTTTCAAAAGAAAGGAAACTGTCATTTCAATACTTTAAACCATGTATTACACTTTCACAATATATTGCAATACATATTGCAATACGCCAACACATATCGCAATGCGAACATTTTGGCAATACCCAACCCTAGCAGTTAGTGATGGTCATGTAGACATTTTGCTTAATAATTACGATTTTGATTCTAAATTTAACCTGTCAACCTCCCTCAATTTACGATATCCGGGTTAAAACTGGTCTTCAGTAACCCATGCTTGTCGTAAGAGGCGACTAACTGGATCGGGCATTCAAGCTCGCTGACTTCGTCGACACATGTCATCATATCCCATTTGCGTATATCGATGCTCATGCTGTTGATCACTGGACTGTCTGGTCCAGACATGATTATTTAGACTGCAGCCAATATTGGAGTATTGCTGAGTAGCTGGAATATTGCTGAGTGTGGCATAAAACTAAACTCACTCACTCACTCAAATTTGGAGTTTGTCATATTTTTTTCATGTTTATTTTTTTTACTATGTTTGTAAAATGTCATGAAGGAAAATTGAGAGTGAGACTAACCAATGAGAATCATGCTTTCAATTTACATAGTGTTAAAATCTCCATAAGTCAATAGTTGAAGTTTCTGATTGATTGGTATGTTAAAACACCCTCAAGTGATTATAGCGATCTATCTGTGCAGGTGCAGACAATACACTACTGCTACTTAAAACAATACTCTTTTTCATATGTAATTATTTTTTTTACACTCTTTTGATTACTCCAATTCTCCAATAAAGTTTGGTATTGCTCATCACAGTTTGTGAATACGAGACAAAGATACGGGAACTTTTTCAGTAAATGCTTTCAACCTTTTTTTTTCCGTGGAAGGAGAAAAAAAATGCTATTCTTTCTGGAGCAGATGTCGTTGTTTTTCAGGTCATCCAATGTACAATATATTTTAGGGGATTTTTTTTTCGAAACCTGAAGATAAATTATGTTGTCATGTACCTTGATGAAATAATTGTTAAAACAAATATACCACCCACTTATTCCAAAGTGTGAAATGGATGGTCCCTAATGAATTCTTCTGTTGCAGGGATGCTGACAATTACTGACTTCATCAATATTCTGAAGATGTACTACAAGTCTCCACTGGTAAGTACTGACATTGTGTAAAGGTCACTTCGGCAGCAAGGAGTAGGAGACAGTAATACGAGACAGCAGCAGGAGCGTCCATCTCGTCTCACTACACTTTCAGCTTTGCAATACAACCTTTATCTTTGTTTTAATGACACCATATATTCTTATACTTTACTGAAGATTCCATACTTTGTGTTTCTCTCTCTTGTTCCTGACTGCTAGTAGCAGTTTTCAAGTGATCCATGTCTAAAGCAGCAACCTGTTATCCTTGCCAAGAGTGGCAACCTCTTGGTCCATGCATAGAACAGCAACCTGTTGATCTTCAGCTAGAGTGGCCCTGTTGATCCTATCTAGAGCAACAGCCTCTTGGTCCTTTTTATTTAGAGGGGCAGCCTGTTGATCCTTATCTAGAGCAGCAACCTCTTGGTCCATGGCTAGAGCCTTGTCTAGAGCGTCAACCTGTTGATCCTTATCTAGAGTGGCAACCTCTTGGTCCATGGCTAGAGCCTTGTCTAGAGCGGGCAACCTGTTGATCCTTATCTAGGGCAACAGCCTGTTGATCTTTGTCTGGAGGGGCAAGCTGTTGATCCATGGATAAAGTGACAGCCTGATGAGCCATGTCTAGAAGGGCAACCTGTTAACCTTAACTGGAGCAGCAACCTGTTGGTCCACGTCTAGAGGGAAAGCCTGTTGATCCATGGCTAGAGCGACAGCCTGTTGATCTTTGTCTGGAGGGGCAGGCTGTTGATCTTTGTCTGGAGGGTCAGGCTGTTGATCTTTGTCTGGAGGGGCACGCTGCTGATCTTTGTCTGAAGGCGCACGCTGTTGATCTTTGTCTGGAGGGGCAGGCCGGTGATCTTTGTCTGGAGGGGCAGGCTGTTGATTTTGTCTGGAGGGGCAGGCTGTTGATCTTAGTCTGGAGGGGCAAGCTGTTGATCTTTGTCTGGAGGGGCTCACTGTTGATCTCTGTCTGGAGGGGCAGGCTGTTGATCTTTGTGTGGAGGGGCAGGCTGTTAGCCCACGTCTAAAGCGTCGACCTGTTGATCCATGGCTAGAAGGGCATCCTTGATCCTTATAAATCTAGAACTCCATTCTGTTAATAGATGTCTACAGCAATATTTCATTTATTGATTTCTAGAGTGGCAATTAGTTATTCGATGTCTGGACCGGCATTCAGTTCGTTGAAGTACAGAATCGTATTCTGTTGATTGGTGTCCATAGCAACAATCTGTTGATCCTCGTCCTGAGAGGCACTCAGTACCAACATCTTACACATTAAAGAGAGTGAAATTAAGCTTTGACAAGATGTACTTTATTATAGGTAATCTGAAATCTTGGTTCGTAATGGTTTGATTCAAACTTGCTAGCACAATGAAACTACCTTTGTTTTGTCTCCGGGGCTGTAATATGTTAGCCAAGTTAATCATTGAAGTTCTACTTGAAACAAAAATACTTGTGATTTGAAATAGTTCTTTCTCTTCTTGTTTTTCTGTCCAAACATTGCAATATTTTGATTGTCCATATCCTAGATTATGCAGTGATACCCTTGAAGATCTGGGTTGGTATTGGTCTTCAGCTGCTCTTGGTTGTCGTAACAGGCGACTAGCAGGATCGGGTGGTCAGACTCACTGACTTGCTTGACACATGTCACAGTGTCCAACTTGCATAGATCAATCCTCATGCTTTTCCTCACTGGATTGTCTGGTTCAGGTTCAATGTTTAACTGGAATACAGCCCTTGCGGTGTTAAACAACAAACAAACAAACAAACAATGATGTAATGAGTGAGTGAGTGAGTATGGTTTTAAGCCGCTTTTAGCAATATTTCAGCTATATCACGACGAGGGACACCAGAAATGGGCTTCACACTTTGTACCCATGTGGGGAATCAAACTGGGTCTTTGGGGTGACAAGCGAATGCTTTAACCACTAGGCTACCCCCACCACCCCTAATGCAGCAATGATAGCCGCCTCCAAGGTTCTGGGTTTGTGGATGATCCGTAGAGAGCTGAGCCTATGTGGACCGTATCTGCTTTGAGGTTCGTCCTTGTCATTTCTTATAGAGCGTCACATTGCACGCTTAGCTGGGCAAACACAATCATATTGATGATTCCTCGGACTAATTTTCTTGATGGCCATCTGTATTATCTTTGCGTGCAAAGACCTTTATTACGCCAGAAATAGACCTCTCACAAGAATCAAGTAAAGGATTCGGCCATCTTAATGGATCAATTTATTGTAGCACTCAAGCATACCGCCTTGCATTGAAACTGCCATCTTTTATGATGTGGTCTAAATTCAAAGTTTAAGATGGATTTGAATTGTTTCATTGCTTTCAAGATCAAAGGGGAATGATGATTATGCTTTAATGGTTGGTATGGAGGACAATTTAAGTGGAGACTGGCAGTGTGCTGATTGTTTGTGAAGAGGCTAAGGCTAGACAGATGTCATGCTGTTGAGGAAGTGATGAAGAAACTAGCTGTGTGTGTTACGCTCATTTTTATTGGCTGTGGATATTTATTTGTAAGATGGCGCTGATGCGTAACGTTTATCTTCACATTACTGTACTATGTTTTCTTTACGCAGTGAAGTATTTGATAATTTATTCCGATCTTGTCTGGTGTGGGAATGAACATCAGATTGTATGAGAAGGTGGTATAAACACAGTAAAAACTTCTCATAGGCAGATTTAGGGTCGTAGTTTTAATTTGAACCTTCACTTGTCAATATGCCCAAGTATTTGAATAACGAGCAGACAGTTTCAAGGGAGCGGTAGGGGTTATCATTGGGTCCATATTGGGAGGGGTCCAACAATGGGAGATTGATTGTCTGCCTGTAAAGCTGCAGTTTGGCACGTACATATACACTGGCTACAGTAAGCTTACAGATTATACTTCGTTTCGTTTACAGAAACTGGTAGAGTGCAAATATTTTTTAATGATAATCGTAATGAAAATCTAAATGAAAAATATGTGCGGCAGTATGTTTCTGATAAGCAACATGTTATGAACATTACTGAGAGATTTCTGTTTATACACATTGCTTTAATTAAGTTAGAGTCACACTTATATGGTTGAACCAGCTGTTGTGGAAGTATATGGTTGAGTTGGTCCGAACTACTGCAGCTTCTGTGATGTTGAGACCAGTAAATGAGGGTCCGGAGGCTGCTTGTTGATCTGTCTTGATTGATTTATGTATTGATTCCTTGCCTGGTGCTTCTGAAGGCCCAGCTCTTCTTTCTTCCAGACATGCTCCATCCCTAGCCTCTCAATACAGGGCCAGTTAGTAGCCCAACCTTAAATAAGTACATATATACTGCCAATTTATTCTTTGGACACTGACCACCTCCGCGGTGTAGTGGTTAGAGCGTCCGCCCGGAGAGCGAAAGGTCGTGGGTTCGATCCCCGGCCGCGTCATACCAAAATACGTTAAAATATGGTACTTGTTGGTCCCTGCCTGGCGCCCGGCATTAATGGGTACAACAAGGACTGGTCGGCTCGGAGTCAGTATAATGTGTCTGAGTGGGGTATTCATGCTTCACTGCGGCATGGTATCTCAGTGGGCTAGCATTGTAAAACCAGCTTCAGTCTGGGCTAGTACAAGCAGCCGCACATACACATACACACACATGCACGTCGTCATATGAGCGAAGTATTCTCAAGCACGACGTTAAACCCAATTTCACCTCACCTCACCTTCTTTGGACACAGGTGTCCTTGTCTGAGGTCGCTGTTGGCTGTGCTGAGTTGTCTCCCTTGAGCGTGCCAGACACCAGTTGTTGTGGGTTCATGTCCCTGATGTGTTTGCGGTGTGAAGCAGACGTCCTCATGGGGTAGCCTAGTGGTGAAAGCGCTGCCTGATCATGTCACTGTGGTTCAAATCCACAGATAACACAATGTGTCACTACCATGATTGTTTGTGTACTGTGATGTGACTGGACTATTTCAAACTAATTCTCACAAGGACATATCTGTTTTGCATCAACCCAACTCAAGGCCTATTAGAGACAGTGGACAGAAAATGTGTAAAATGTTAACAGTAAATGAGGATTTTGCACACGTTGAAAACATACATGGATGGATATCTTTCTTGTGTGCAGTTTCAGTATTAAAGCCTTGTGGTTGTTATGGTAACCATTTGTCATGCCAAAGGCTGGAGTGGATTCACTACATGGGTACAAAATTGGAGGTTAAATCCCTATTATGATATTAATGTAAACTTGCATGTATTACCCTAAAACCGCTGCTCTGCTCACTTTATTCGCTGCTTGTCGACAAATTCTACTGAAATAAAGTGATATAATGTTCAGAAATACGTGATAAAGGAACACCTTTGCATATATTGCCCTAAAGACATTGCTCTGCTCACTTTATTCGCTGCTTGTCCACAAATTCTACTAAAATAAAGTGATATAATGTTCAGAAATACGTGATTAAGGAACACGTGATTAAGGAACACCTGAGTGCCCCACACTGACCCAAGTTATTAAGTGCCTTACAGCAAATCTTCAAACACAGTTTCTCCTTGATAAAATCTAGAACAAGCCTCTCGTGCAGATAAGAAGAAAAGGAGGTCATCACCTGTCGTAAATATGTTTTCATGTTACCTCTTGATAAATTTTCAACAACTCAACAATGAGAGTGAGATGTCATGGCCATGCCAAGATGGCTAAACAAGCTCCATGGTTACGAAGGATGTCCTCTCAAAGAGTCAGGGCATTGGGGTAGCCTAGTAGTTAAGCGTTCGGTCATCAAGCTGAGAACCTGAGTTCAATTCCCCATTTGGGTACAATGTGTGAAACCCATTTCTGGTGTCCCCTGCAGTGATATTGCTGGAATTTTGCTAAAAGCGGTGTTAAACTAAACTCACTCACTCACTCACTCACTCACTCACTCACTCACTCACACTCACTCACTCACTCTCACTCACTCAGTCTCAAGCAGAGTCCAGTTTAAGATGCTGCATTCTCACATATGTTTGTCGTAAGAGGCAACTAACAGGATTGGGTGGTCAGGC